AGTGACAGGTTTGGCTAAAAAAACACAACACAACAATTAAAAAAAATCATAATCACTCTTAAAGGAACAGACCACAAACATAGAGAATGCACTCGTGGTTTTTGCTGTTCCTTCTATAATTTACTTCTAATTACCACACATAATTGCATGAAGTAAAGCAATTACCTGCAGCAAAAGATAGAAAATCAATCCAGTGGTTTCCATGGAAAGCTACAGCTTTCATCTACAGCTGAACTGAGCTGAATTTCCAGTCACTCCTGGATGTTCATGCTGCACCAGCTGGGGTAACCTGTCAATCCCTGGTACAGCTCCCATGGATTGAATCTTTTGTTGTCTCTTTTCTCTTCTTTGAAAAAAACCTGATGGTTTGGCAGCAGCAGGAAGCCCTGAGCCACCTAGGACAGTAAATGGAAAACTATTACCATTATGTACTTCAAAAATAACAAGAAAGTAATTTTCTCCTAATAGTCAAAATTATCCTGGATTAGTCTCCCTCCTGGAAACTCGCAGGCTCCAGGTATCCCAGTTACCTCTCTTTCATAACCTCAGTTATAAAAGGCCAGCACTTAGCATCATTCAGTCAGTATTTAAAAAAAGTATTCACATTTCAAAAGGTAGGCATAAACCAGAAGCACAGTGGATTTGACCTGAACGTTTAGTTAACCGTTGGTGGCGGGACTGCTGTAAGCCAGAACCAGGGGGCTTGTTAGCATTTGCTTGCCTGCTGTGGCACCAATACCCTCTCACAAGATGTGCCAAAAAGTAGGGAGGGATAGTGAGAAAGAGAAGCGACAAGGTGGTTTGGAGACAGCACCCTAAATACCCAATCTGGATTTTTATGTCATAGGATAAGCAGGGAACATAACTGGCATAACAAGATTACCAGAACTGTAGCAGTATCCACTGTTCACCTGGAAACATGTTAGGGGTTCCACAAATCGAAATACTTTGACTTTGTATGGGTGCTGGAAAGGCTGGGACCAGAAGGGAGGGCATTCGAGTTGGTGGGAAAGCACTAGTGAAAAGAACAGGATACAAGCCTGTAAGCCAAGCAAGCCCAGGAGGTGGGAAGGGCCCTATTCCTTATCTTTACATATGAATGCCAAGTGTTAAAAACACAGATTAGGCTCAAAAGCAGGAGAAAAGGAATGAAGGGGAGATGCTGGTTTAAGATAAAAGTAGAGTAGATTTAAGCAGTTGCTGGAGAAAGTGGGTGTGAGGTCTCAGCCCCACAGAATTCAGCTGCATTCTTCCCCTGTTCCCCAAAAGCCCCAAAGAGGGAAAGAACCCCAAGGACAAGAGAATTAATCTGAGCTCTTGCTGTCCCTTTCCTTTCTGTCACCTCATTTCTAGTTCTGTGTTCAGGAACTGGGATTTTTGCTGTACCTGCACCAACCTTGAAATAGTCAGCTTGTCTGACATCGAAATAGGCCAGCTGATGTGGAAAAGCCACAAACCAAAGCCCTCTCCTCCTTGCCAGAGGCCTGCGAACCAAAAGAGTGGGAAAGGATTTGGGGAGGCTGGCTGATATCCCCATCACCATAAGGACTAATATATCAAAGTCAGTAGGCCTGGCAAAAACTATATTTGGGCAGGGCCAGGCAGGAGTTCCCTCATCATGAGCTCTGCCAAAGCAGCATTTGAACCAACAGGCTTATCACATGAGGTCACTTAGTGCAGAAGCAACACAGTACCAGCCCCAGATGTGGGGAGTGAAGCACCACTGACTCCAGTTTCTCTGGTGTCAGGTGCCTGGCTCCAAGAAAACGTGACTGCAATTACAGTTCTGAGCACAAATGCTTATTTTAGTGAGCTACAGCAGAGCTGGGGAGTTTCAGGAGGTGTGTATTAGCTTACACCAGCAGCCCCCAGTTTTCACCAGCTCATGCCCATCCATCATGCAAGTAACCTGCTGTGAGCAAAGGCCCCACATTTTTCTTATTTATCAGTATTTGTCTTCTTCAGGGTCGGTTGAGAGTGAATGACCTGACTCAGCCTGAATAAGATGCTCTCTGGCAAGAGCAGAACACACTGAAGGGAAAGGAACATGACACTGAATACCAGTACCAGTTCTCCAGCAGATTTTAGGCTGGGAAGGAGGAAAGAAAATGTCATCTCTTTCCAGCAGTTTGACTGTTGAAGAACTGCTTTTAAAGCTCAGAGATAATAGCTGTGGTGTTCCGTGACATCCACATCCTTAAAATGAGTCTGTTGTCTCTTTTAATTAGCAGATCTTAATGAACATCTCAGGATTTTATGTTACACGCTTAGAAAACTGCCATTATCTTGAACCCAAGTGGAATCATGGGACACCACAGTAATACTAATAATCCTTGCAAGATGGAGACTTCATGTTAACAGGTTGTAGGACTCAGCAAGAAAGAGCCTGAATCTCTTCCACCCCTTTCTCCTTTTCTATCTATTGAAACTTCTGTGTGATGCCCCATTGTTGCCCAAAATATCTGCCCAGTAGGCACCCTCCTCCTTGCCCTGGTTCCTTAGATTTGGTACTTCCCTTTGGTGCCTTGCCTTTGAATGCACTCCTGAAAATACATACCAAGATGATGAGAAAAAACAAGAACAACAAAACCATGGCCAGCACGTTAGACAGACATGCAGACACAAGTGTGCCACTGAGAACCCAAGCCAAACAATGGCTTGGAGACCCTCAGTTCTGCCTTATTTTGGGAGGATGATCAGTGAATAATCCTTTAGTTCAGTCACCTGGTTTGTTGTACCCAAAACTACTGCAAATCAGGTCACATGGAAAGAACCTGCCAACCCTCCAAGCAACAGGTGGCATCCTGTACGTACCTGTAACTCAGTTAATACCTAACAAATCTCAGTATTGCATGGCTGACAAAGAACTTTCAGTGAAAGACAGAACCTCTCTTATTTATAGCATCAGCACATGTTCAAGCAAGCTCAGAGTCAGCAATTGGCAGAAATCGATCCAGCCTTGCCACCTAAGTACCCTCTGCTTTGCAGCCCAAGTGAAATAAAAGCCAAAGCAAGCAAATTAAACCACATGTAGTAATTGCTCTGCTCCTGTTCAGAAGGTGCCAGGGACAAAGGAAACAAAGATGACACCTACAACGATGTTCAACGGTGGTGCTTCTCTGAAAACAGGCCTAATCTCACATGACATGGAGGGCAGCTGCTCATTGATTAGAAGAGGCTCATGGGGTCAACTGGACTCCAACACATTTAGAAGCCAATAGTGTCAACGGACAAGCAATGAAAAATATACTTAGATTAGCTCTAATCCAGCTAATTACATGGGCCAAATAATCATGCAACTAAAGCAAGCTCCCTACACTCTGTTCTTGTCCCCTACACTGCTTGACACCTTTCTGTCCAGGAATAAAGGCAACACAAATTAGAAGCAGATGCCCCAGTTTACCCAAAAATGCCCAAACTACACTGCAGTCTTTCTCTAGGCACTCTCTGTCTGTAGTGGTGCATAGCAAATCCAGATGATTTTATGCACAGAGCGTCCTTTAATGGCAGCCTCCATTCCTGTGTTTCTAGCTTCAAGGCCTATCAAATTGTATCCCTGCCCACCAACTACCACTGCTCCTAAGAATGTGTATTCTACTTTAATCCCACATATGAGAAACCATCAGCTAGCAGACATGTGGACACAGAAGATGTTGGTCTGTAGAGCATTTAAAGTCTTGTTAATGCCCAGAGGCAATATTTTCATGTTATATTACAGCTGGAGTGCCATGAAGATATATTCTCAGGCTTTTTCAAACCATCTAACACAGCTGCATCAACAGCTGTGCAGTTGGCTGTGCCAGGAGCAGGCAAAGCTTCAGTACTGTAGGGTGGGACATCAGAACACTTTCCTGGACATTTCAAGTATAACTAGAGTTACCCTTTGGGGTATTTCCACAGGTTTGTCTCTGATGAATGGGCTGCTGTATTCTGTGGCTCCCCATTTACATTCAGATTTGTCTTGGTGGTGCACAGGGGTCTAGGGTGCACAGGCTGGCCCTGCTCTGTCTTCATGGTAAGCCTAGAGTGCCCTGCATAGGTGAGACAGAAAGTTGGTAGTCTCATTTTTAATCACTTGTGGGCTTAATTTCATTCCTGTTTTTCCAGATTTTTATTCCTCCTGGGTAAAGACTTCCAAAAAGCAGAAAGTCTATTCAGTCAGGTCAGATTGTGAAGGATATACATTTTGTCCCTCCACAAGTCATCAGGACCTATTCCCTCTGTCCCATCCTGCTCTGCCACAAGGAACTTCAAAATCTCTTGTATTAAGTACCACCATGCAGAATAAAAAACCTCCTATCATCTACATTGTCCAAGTGGAAAAGATAACACAATGTGGGTAATGGATGGCACATAAATGTGGGGCTCCTGAAAACACGTGGACAACTTTTATATCGTCAGCAAAAAGAAAAACCTGTAGTCTCATGAGCTGATCTCCCACTCGGTGTCCTCCTGACTTCTGAGTCATCTTCCACAGATCTCAGTGAGACACATCACCACATGCTGCTGTATGAACCCATGACAATCTCTCATCCAGCAGCATATAAGGTTGTATCCCTGGATGAACATATTAGTCTGTTTTTAGAGAGAGAGGGAGAGAAAGAGTTGGCTCAAACTCCTCTGGATACACATCAAAATATCATCTTCCACAGTGAGGGATGGTCCTAAGAGGCAAGAGTTCAGAAGGTGATAAGCAATAGCATTACTTTTCTTCAAAAGTCTCTATCCTCAGCTCAATAATTGGACATAAACATCACATCTTCTCCAGGATGCAATTCCAAGAAAAAAATGGGGAATAAAACCTGTAGTCTAAAGTCTCACTTTACAACACCTGTAAAAATTTTAAAAGAGCTACAGACAGGGCACCAACACCTTAAAACAATCCTGTTTGTTAAAATTCATCGTTGATGAGCAATGTAGCCTGCAGGTTACTATAGCAGCAGGATCCATCACCTAGGTAACCAAGCACTAATGATGTCAACATTAACCTATCCCTACACGCACCTCACACTGTGCACATTACCAGACCTCCACTTCTTCCAAGATGATTGTCTTCCTACTAACAGACGGCCAGTAACAGACCATGTGGACAGTTTCCATGAGGAGGGAGCTCTCCTCACAGCACCAGCCTGCCCTGTTAAGAATGATTATTTCAGAGAGCATCCCCCGTGTAAGAGCTGGGCACCTGAGGTATCCACCGTGCACAACCTGGTTCACTACCAGAGTAGTAAGTAGCAACAGAGCTTGCCTAAAGGCTCTTTGGAAAAGAGGTCAAAAAGGTCAAAAGGTCACTTAACATATCAGAGGGTCTGAAGCATAAATCCACACAGAACAAGAATGTCTTGGAAAGTGCATTGGCATGGTCTTCCCCCAAAGAAGCATTCCTTTTGGGAAGTCAAACTTCCAATATGGAACACCAAATCCAGTAAATGCCCATATCAATACATTACCTATTAAAGGGAGATGATTTATCCCAAATAAACCTGTGCTTGCTCTCTGTCCAAGGCCTTGCAAGCAGTTCTTCACAGTGGGGCACAGCAGAGCAGCCCCTGAGCCTGCCCTGCCCCGCGAGCTGTGCAGACCAGGAGAACAGCATGAGGCCACTGTGCTGGTGACGTAACTCCCAGAGTCCAGGTGTCCTCACACAGCACTGCACAGAGCTGAGGACGTGCCCTCAGCTGTGGGGTTTCACTAATGCTGTTTAACTCTGCTATCTGAGAAACACTCATGAGTACAGACGTATTTGTTTACAACCAAGCAACATATTGCTTTGATTACAGAGGCAGATTAAACCTCAGACTCCTGGAAAATACTGATTTTTTGGTAACAGTGTTACATAATTGGTTACTTCCATAGCCTAAAGGGATTTTGGTTGCTTGGGCTAAAGGAAATGAAATGGAATTTGGGTTTTTTCCTCCCCTTTGTTAAAGGCTGCCTTTATATGCCACAGAGAAATTAACTGAGACAGAAATCTCTTTCCCTCCACTTTGATAAATAGGGATGACTCATTATTTCCCCATTTTGCTTTAAATATCCTGTCATCCTTGTGGTTTGCTTTGTTCAGCTATTCCCTCAACTTCATACAGCACCTGCTGTAATGATACAGGAAGTCCTCTGTGGTTCTTTTGCCCTTTCAGTGCATCTCTTATCAACAGAGTGCTCTGACCTTTAAACATCACTTCCTTTACTTACCAGCAGACACTTACAACCCCCAAAGACAGCCTTTTGCTGATCACCATTTCCTAGATAGTAGATTACATTATCTTGATGAAACCAAAAAACCTTTTTAAGTCTTTACCCTCATTTAAGCACAGCCAGATTTTGGGCTGCAGTTTAACTTTTCAAAGTGATGTGAGCTGTTATAGCTTCATAGACATTTTCAGTAGGTGGGGAAACCCCTTGAATCAAATTTATTTGTTAGAAACCTAAGTGTTTCCTTTCTTACCTTCTTTCACTGCCTATTGTCCCATGTTCCTCATGCTGAGTAAAGACCATGGTGTCTTTTACGTGCTTATCCACACACAGGTTCAGCAAAGAACATTAGAAGTCAAGCCCTTTATCATTCTGGAGAACAAAAGGATAACTGTCTTCCTGATAAAGCCAGTTTTCTTGTCTGTCTCTCATTGGCTGACAATGGGATAATACCAGCAAAAGAAAACAAGATCAAACTAGTAGTGCTGGATCTGAGAAGATAAAAGAAGAAACAAATTTCAGAGAGAAAGGAATGTTGGGTAGATGAGAGAAATAAGAAACACATTTCTACAGCAAAGGATATTTTACACTGAGGCTAGACAAGGGCAAAAGATCCTAGGAGAAAACAGGGCCTCTCTGTTCCAGGGAAGAAGACATCTGCTGGCAGAGGGCTACTGGGCCCTGAAAGATTCAGCCTCAACACAGAGAACACTTGAGCAGTGAAAAACAAAACATAAGAACACAGAAATGAATAAATGTTTTATTGTTAGCTGAGAACTGTACATTCCTTGTTGTGGATAAATGCAGCTTGAATTTTGCAAAGCTTTTGTATCTGCTTGCTCCCACCATGAAAACGCCCTTCAGAGGTGAGGCACTAACCAGGAGCACCCAAGGGTTCTCACCCTGACCAAAGGAGAGGATGGAGCTGCCTGGGGTCTGAGGCTCAGCCTCAGCTGCAAGAGCCAGAGTCCAGATTCTGTGAGAGAGAAACCCAAGGACATTCATGTCTTGATTTGCTGATATGAGACAGTGAAGTGTCACTTTGAAACTGTCAGAAGAACTACCTGAGGTGAACAGTATACATGGATGCAGTCAACTGCTCAAATGGGTTTTTGTCTGTGAATTACATGAAATTATGTTTTTCTAGTTCATATCCCTAACAGTCCTCTTCAGAAGACTGTGTATCCAAGGTCAGCATGCCTTTCAGGACAACTGGGTACCTTTAATGAATAATTGCACTTTAAGCAGTGAATTTAATTAAAACACATCACTGTGCTAGAGAAAATATTCCGCACTTGTGACATTATGCAATACTGCACTCAGTGTAAAGATACAAGATAAACAAGGAACACTTGGAGCTTGCCTATCACCCTGCACGACTTAACTTCCTATTACTTTCTACCTTTTTTCTTTTTAAATTCCTATCTATATTTATACATTTAGAAAAGATAACAGGCTAACTGAGCATTGCAGAACTGCCAACAGCAGCTCAGGTGGAAATCTTGCCATTATGAGGTTGCAACTGTGCTCAACTGTGCAGAAACAGAACTTCCTTCCTGAAGCATCTGGCTGGTCTTTCCTGCAGGAGCAGTGAAATGCTGAGTTTTTCTTTGTACCTCTGAGAAACAAAATGGGTCCTAAATGCTGTCATCCCACTTTGACTTTCGTTTTTGTCACTCTCAAAACCAAGACTGCAACAACAGGAAAAGAAAGTAGGATTTTGTGTGTTGTTTCAAAGTGCAAAGAGCAGCTCAAGATGGCACCTGAAAGGCAGTAATGTGAAGCCTCATATTTTATGTCATGACAAACAAGAGAAATGTTATTCATCTGTTTCTTTGTGGGGAAGGCTCAAACTACAGAAAACCCAAAAAACTAGGATAGAATTCCTTGAACAAATCATGAAAGAAGACCTTCAAAGGAAAGGGGCAAAGAACCTTTGGACTACTTTTGTCTCCCCTTTTTATAATGCATAGAGGACATGAAAGAGGTTTTTCAGTAGTTCCTTCTTATTCCAAAAGGATTTTTTTTTGTTCCTTCTTCTCTTTTACATTAAAAATTCAAGTCTTGCCTTGAATAGAAGGCTCTGAGGCAAACAGCATCAAAGACGTGCACAAGTCAGGATCAAGTACATTGGTAAGGACATGTGGTTAATGCCCATCTTGCACTGAATTCTTAAGGTTGCAGATGAAAGTCAAAGAATTTGAAGATTCAAAAACCAAACCCAAACAAATTTAGTTCAGCTGCAACAAATATTTTTATAGGTATAAAAAAATTAATCTCTTTAAATAGCTAATGGTTCAGCTTTAAAAAAAATAAAGCCCTCCAAAATTTTACAGCTGTCTTGAGCAGAGGAAACCTGACCTTCCTATTTGAAGTGGAATTAACAATAAATAAAATGCCTTTTCATTGCCTTTGACAGCAATTTATGCTGATGGGTCTGTGGCTGGATATTTATTGCAATTTTGTCTGTCTCTCCAGGTGTGTCTGGAAGAAGTTCCTCTTAAAGAAGAGCAGTAATCCGTTTGTTCACCCTTTACCATCTCCTGATGGTAAGGGGTGAACTTTCAGTGAGCAGTGGTGGGACAGTGACTGTGTAATGAACAGTGACTGTTCTCAGGCTCCAAGCAATGACTTGAGCAAACCTGCATCCACATAGGTTTCAAACCACAAGTTCTGCCCCTAAGTGGTGCAGAGGGGGCACTGCTGGGCTGCTGCTACTGAGCAAGTGCTGCCCCATGACCCCATGTCCCCAGACCTGAACCAGAGCTGCTCCTTTTGCTCAGATCTTACCAAAGGTGGGCAGGCAAGCCAGCAGTTCACACTGAAGATAGAGAGGGAAAAGTACTCCAGTGTCTGGGAAGGCTTAACCTACACTAAGTCAATGTTTAGGACACAAAGTCTGAGATACCTGATCACAGCCTGTGACCCCAGTCCTTAAAGATGAGCCTGTACAGTCCATATGAAAACAAGGAGAGACCCATCAACACATTGTAGAAGGACACTTAAGTGCTGGCACATCTTGAAGCACTTCACCTGCCTTTCTCCATCTTTTTCCCTTGCTAACATGACGTTGCCTTGCACTGCAAAGCCACGTTTCCTATCTGGAAGCCTATTTTTTTCCCCCAGGATGTGTGCTAAATTGGGCAATCCTTCCATGAACAGGCTTTAAGTTACCTTTTGAGACAGGCTTGTATCCCAAATCCTTTTTCTGTTGAAGGGAAAAGCCAGCTGGTCTCTCTTCTGAGTAGGAAAGCAGCAGCAGAGCTGTTGGAGAAGGAGTGGAGACTACTACTTGTGCATCAACAGAACAAACTTCAAGTCTGCAAAATGCTGGATCATTTTCTCTGCAGCATACTGCTTCTAATAGGAGGAAACCTTTTACTATCGGACTGGTTGCTGGTGAAACTATCTGGTAAAAACATAAAAAACAAAAGCATTTTCTTGTAACACGAACACGTTGGATTTGGAAATTAGTAAGAGGAAACAGATATGGTGCATGTGATGATATTTTCCCTGTTTCTTTCTCAGGGTAGAACTGAGCTTTCAAAACTGAAAAGTAGTTATAACACTTTTTCCCTGTTCTGCATGTGTGTTTTGGTGGATTGCCAACTGCATATTGAGTTAGGGATGCTGAGAGCCTGCTCAAATTCACATGGCTATGTTGCCCTAGTCAGAATTAAATTGTACATTACACCCTGAGTCACCCACTGCTAATGCCTGCTAGATATTTTCTGGCATCAAAGTTTAAAATTTGGAGCTCACTGGAAATTTTCTGTAGGGGAGATTTTCAGAAAGAGAATTCTGTTTCTGAGAAAATAAGAATTTTCTATGCGGGGGAAAAAAGTTGGTTTTCCCAAAAAAAAAATTTTAAAAGGTTTGTTTGTAAAGAGGATCAAAATACAGTATTTAATTTTTAATTGACCTGGACTAACCAAACTGTGCAATGCCCCAGATAATCCACATGAATTTCAGATTCTTTTGGATGGAGACAGCCCATCCAGACAATGCCGGGGCTGTGACTTCAATTTTCAGACAGTCCTGTGTGACTGCTCATTTCTGACACAGGTGCCTGCTGTGCAGGGCAGAGGTGTGGTCAATAATCCTCCCCAGTTACAGAGCAAGGGTTACAGCAGCCCCATGCAGGGGTCTCCACCAGCAAGACACAGGCCCAGACAGAGGTTTTCTGGTGAGGGAGGATGCACTTCCCAGTAATCCCCAGATGCTTTCCGAGCTAGCACTCCCATCTCCATGTCCTTTCCTCTCTGCTGGAACCACATCCTCCACTGGAGAGGGAGAGTATCTTCATCTCTCCCATCCCCATTCTCTCTCAGCTTCCCTCCCTACTCCCTCACCCCTCATATCCTGACTCCCACTCCAGAGTAACATCCCTGCTGACTGCTGCCACTCGGCACCTCCACACTGATACTGGAAATAGCTGTAGCTGTCTCCTCCTCCCCATCCCACTTCCCTTGCTGGCTGCCTTCACCCACACACAGGCACAAACTTAGCTTGGCACCAGTAAACTGGGCAAGGCACACACGTAGAGCTCCAGCGGCACCTCCATGCTGCTTCCCACCTGTAAGCCTGTCACTGGAAACATGGATGGGAGACAAATCCATTGGAAAGCAGACTCTCTACAGTCCTTCGTTCATTGAGCAAAAGCTTCTCCTAGAGCGGAAAACATTCCCAAAACTTGGTTTTCATTAATTTCTTTTTGCATTATTAAAAAAATCCACACAACCTCTTGCACTTGGCTAAAAAGAGGCCCCTCCTCTGCCCACCTAGTACAGATCAGAAATGCCCTGAGACCTGGACTGTCCGGCCTCTAAACTACCAGTAAGCTTTATTTTTAATGTTTCACTGGGCTCTGGATCAGGCCACAATATACAGATACACACCAAGAAAACCAGATCCCAAACCTAAAACTGATGTCACCATGAACAACCAGTGTCCGGCCTGGATCTGATTCTGCACCCTCTGCTGCTGTGGAGGCAAAAGCCATCCACTTTAGCACAGGAGTTTTCTCTGAGGTGTGGAGAACCTCAGATCAGAACTATCAGTACTCTATCTGGGTGGAGATACCTTCTCACTTGCCTTCTGCCTACAGAAGTTACAGGCCACACAGCAGCGTAAGGACATCCAAATTAAAACCACCTGGCTGTCACAGGACTTCTGACCTTTGATCTATGAACTTTTTTTTTTGTTCCCCTCCAAATAAAGTAAAACCTTCCTGTACCATGAAGATAAACCTGTAGACTCTGCATACCACTGAGAAACAGACCACACATGTCCAGAAGCTCAGCAGCTATAGGCCAAAGGATCTGAAGGAAGCAGAGTGTTACAGGCAGCACTTATTTCCAGCAGCCTTCAAACAGCTCTAAACTGCCAAAGGATAAGGTTGGAGAAGTGTGGAGATGTTAGCACAAAAAGCAGTTTCAATCAAGCAGCAAATAACAGTGACATGGGTATCATCCCCTAGGGCCCTCCAGGAGAGGCTCCAGGCCAGTCCTGGGAACAGCCTTCGTGTCAGGCCACGAAACCATTGTTCAGGCAAGGTTTGGAGCTCATATGTCCCTCCATTGTACCAATCCAAACACTGTCCAATTTGCAATTGCCTTTTCTTATCCTGAGAGTGCTAATGAACCAGGCAGACAGCGGTGGAGGGAAACAGGGTCTGGCTGACATACTGGCAACTGCCTGCAAAGGGTCAGTCTGAACTGGGGCACCAGGGACAGAGGTCAGCCCTTACACCTGTCACATCTGGTGGTG